CTGTATCGGCAATGTCCGTCTGTCCGTCTGCCTATCTATCATCATCTATATCCATCATCTATATCTATCATGTATCATGTATCATCTATCATCTATGTATCTATCATCTATCATCTATCAATCATCTACCAATCATCTACCAATCATCTATCAATCATCCATCAATCATCTTCTTAGTTTTTCCTGTACATCTCCTTCACAACAAGGGAAGCACCATGGGCAAGTACATCAACTATTTTATTTTATTAACTGTAATATCTCCAGCTCATGCCATAACGACATAGAGGTAAGTGCCCAATATACATGTGTTAAATGAATAAAGTATTTGTGTGGCTTTTGGGAATTAGAGGTCAAATCCCTGTGAGGACTAGACAGAGTTCATTTAGAAGAAAATGTGCTGAGTAATAGAAAATTTCTCTGCCTCTCAGACGTTATAATATTTCCCAGAACTTGCAAGAGAGGAGGACCAGAGGGAAGCAAGGGACAAGTTGATGGTGCAGCACCCTAAAGTAGTCCTTTCCAGGTCCTCTAAAGAAAGGGAGGATGAAAACAGAGAAGGAAACCCAAGGAGGTCTGATTGCCATGAGACCAGCACTACAGCCATGTGCATGCCCAGTGCCAACACGGCTCACCCCACAAAGTTCCTGTCAGCCCAGGAGGCACAGGAGGGCCAGCAGTTCTGCCCATAGGAGGAAACTGTGTTGTCCTTTTATCAGCCTGGACTGTCAGAGCCTTGTGAATGCAGCAAGCGGCAGCTTAGCAGCATCTCCAGGATTAGTGGTACCCAAAGACCAAAAGCAAATCTGAGTGGGCAGTGCTAGCCCAGACCTGGCATCACCCTGAAACATGACTGCCTCCAGAGAGAATGAAGAGAGACAAATTTGATAGAAAACGAGGGCTCATGATACATGTTCACATTTTTGGCACTTGAGTTTATGATTTGAGGCTCACATCCACCCAACTGTCTCTTCTTCCTACTTCCTTTGTGTTCTCAATTTTTCTTTTTGCACCACTAAACTACAACACTTACAGGCCAGAAGCAGGACGTTTTCCTGATCTCTGTGCCCTGCAGTGCCTTGCGCATATGTCTAGACGCTCAATTCAACTTCCTGAATTGGATTAGCACACTGTGGCAGAGATGTATTCCTGCTCCTCCTGAATATCTCTGTCTTGTTTCAGAACCAGCACAGTTTGCCTCTTTCATTGATGCTGCCCTGGAATGGGGCAGGTGACCCAAGTGTGCAAATCAGAACAAATCTTGTACCACAGCCGAGCTTCAAACCAAAGCTGACCCGTCAGCATCTCACCAAGTGCTGGTGTGGAGCTGCCAGAACTCCTCTCTCCCAGGCACTTCCGTTTGGACTTGCTACAAGATTTTGTCACCACAAGGGGAAAGCCTGAGAGCACAGCCACGCAGAAGGGCACTGGACAAGAGCTGCGGAGAGCATCTGGGCTCTGCTGGCCCTGCTGGAACCCAGGACTAGGCAACAGCTGAAGCCACAGCAGCTCGGGACTGTCCAGTGACTTGGACCAGCACGCTTTCCCTTTCTGCTAAAGCCAATTTGGATCAGAGTTTCTGACACATGCAACTAAAACTTAGTAAATAGTACATAAATCTTACCCCCAGAAGACTTTCTGCTGTGAACCCTATCAAGCAAGCAGAATTGAACCAGTCAAATAAGCAAATTCCACAGTTGAGAGCTGCTATTGCAAACATCCTGCTGTGGGGAAAGGTCGCAGCCTTTTTTGTAAACACAAGAAGGGGGCTATTGGACTTGGGAATTCAGATACAGCCTACAGTGCCTGTGCCCCCACAAAGTGCGGTCTCTAAGCCCTGTGCACTGGGGGTTCACAAGCCTGCTCACGGTCAGGATACCTTCGTGTTCAGCTGAACTCTACAAGACTCCAGATAATTTGTTTTAATAGCGCAGATTTTATTAAATTTCTGATAAAATCCTATTGCTTGGTCATAGTTATGTATACTGAATTTCTCTGTTAGAACCAACAAATAATAACAATTTAGACATAAGCCTCAGTTCCTGTCCTCAGCATCAAACCCTGGCTCTTTTCCTCGGCTGTGCCATAAGGGATATAGAGAGCATGGTCTGGTCAGAATGTTGGCATCATTATATCACCAAAGTTATGAAGATACAGGTCATTACTAAAGAAGCCTTTTAAATTTTAAATCATGGTTGGCATCTGAACATTCATAAAAGTCTTGAGTCTCTTGAATCCCAAGGTAAAGCAAATTCTCTAAAGATATTTGAGTTTCCTCCTGAGAGTGAATGGTTGCCAAACCTCAAGCTAAGAAACTTAGATTAAATTTTTCTTTAAAAAGTGATTAAAGCATTTGAGGGCGCCTGGGTGGCTCAGATGGTTAAGCGACTGCCTTTGGCTCAGGTCATGATCCTGGAGTCCCGGGATCGAGTCCCGCATCGGGCTCCCTACTTATCAGGGAGTCTGCTTCTCCCTCTGACCCTCTTCCCTCTCGTGCTTTCTATCTCTCATTCTCTCTCTCTCTCAAATAAATAAATAAAATCTTAAAAAAAAGTGATTAAAGCATTTGAAAATGTCCATACTAAGACAATTTTATTTTGAATTAAGAGTTTCAAAAATACTGGGAAGAAAATTTTTACTTTGGAAACCTCAAAAGCTTGAAAGGAGCTTAAGCTGTGGAAATAACTTACATATTGACCATGGGCAATAAACTAGGGGCTGGGTCGCTGGGACAAACTTGCCACCTGGGGAGAGAAACTGACAATGGATTAAGTACCCTGCACCCCATTACTCAAGGCCAGGGCTTCCCAAACTTTCCTTCATATCAACAAGCACCCACAGTAATATTTTCCTCAGTGGATGCTCAGCTATGAGAGAGGTACCTACAGGAAAAGTTTAGAAGTTTAGAAATGGTTTTCCAAATGTCCATTAATTAGATATTAACCAAATTATTAAGCCTTATAACTTACATGAAATAAAGGTTAATTCATGTTGATAAAACCCTAACCAAAATCAAAAGAACTAGAATGCTGCTAAGGAAATATATAGAATAGATAGATTAAATCTTAGTCAAAGTAGAAGAAACTTCATACATCTATGTAATTTTTTAGAAGGCTTTGACATATTGCCCTTAGCTCAGAAGCTTTATTAGAACATTACTGTCTTGAACACCACTGCCCAACAACTACAGACATTGTTTTTTAAGCGGATTCTTATCTTTCTGTGGCCTTGGTTTAACTACTTCCTTTGACTCAAGGGGACAGAACTTGTCAGTTCCAGAAATCAAAACTGGTCTCTCTGGTCACATCAGCAGCCTTCATAGTCCAAACTTTAAATCAAACTGGCCATTTGAACCCCAAACATTAGTGTATTCTGTGCTTCTTTTCTCCTCCCCCTGACCCCAGGCTGCAGATGTGGGACAGAGAGTAGGGAGTGGTGAGAACTTAGCTTTCAGCATAAGGAGACCTTTGACTTAGACTCACTTTATCTTTTCTCAAACTAAAGAGAGATCCTGGCTCACAGCAGACTACACATGCCACTCTAGTCTGATTATTTGGTATAAAAAATGAACTCTTCCAAAGAAAACAGAAAATTCAGTGTGCTTAGGTTTTAAATTGCATAGGATTATGTGTTACCATGACACACTTGCAAACAAGGCAACAGGTAGAAGGACTTGTGACAGGCAGTCAGTAGAGCAGCACAGCCAGATTTCCCTCTGACCCATGAGGCACCACATCCTACTTTTTAGGTGGAATAAAAGCCTCAAATCACTCTTGATGAGCAAAGACTTGTTACTATTATTTTTTAATCTTACAAAAGATGAAGGTTAGTATTTTCTCATTTTACAGAAACTTTGTTTAAATAGAACATTAGCAAACCAAACAGCCAATTTTCCTTAATTTAAACAAGATGAACAGGATGGAAGTTATAATTTATTTTGATTATTCTAATCTCCAACATAGTAATTTGCAAACACTTCAGCAGTCAGGCACTGCACAGGTATTCCAAGAGCAGGCCCACACAAGGAAGTAAAGGACTCCTGGGAGACCTGTCATTTCTCTGGAGTGCAGGTATACAGATCTTCTAACATTATTAATTAGGCATCTCCCACATCTCAATAAAAACATTCCTGAGAACAAGAATGCAGGAGAGGCATGTTCTGTAAGCAGAAGAAAACCTGAAAATCTTCTCTCCTACGGGTAGAAGTTTCTGGACCCATCAGATTCTGACTCCCTGGGGGGCAGAGGGCCCTGTCTGTGTCATTCTTTCCAACTCAGCCCTGGCAGAGTTGGAAACATTTGTTGAAATGAAGTGAAAAGGATACGGTTCTGGCCAGCAGGTACATCTCCTTTCTTTGCGGTCACTCACCAGTTCATTGCACTTTCCTAACTTGTTTCAATATGAAAGATCCACTGCAGCAAGGAGATCCACAGACGTTCTGTGCTCCCAGGGCCAGAACGGCCACCCCACCCCCCTCTTCTGCTCTCAGAGACCTCTTTACTCCAAGTGGTTCCCCAAACAGCGTGGCTGGCCACAGGGAGGGCCAGGTGAGTGTGTGGAGGGCCTGGCACACTTCAGGAGAACCGCCCAGCGCGCATCTTCCCGGCCTCCTGCCCCCATGAGTCAAGCGCACAGCACACCCACACCACCCTGACAGAGCTCGAGTGTCATTTATTGAAACAAATTGGAACGGAAAAGGCAGTAACTAATACGTGGCTTTTCAAACATTAGATAATTACAAATAACATAAAATGAATTGCAATAGTTAAAATTAAAAGTTAGAGCTTTTCTGTGAACGGAAACGACCGTGGTCGAGTCCAGAGAGCTGGTTAATCTTTGACAGCTTGCGGGATGACGGCAGCAAATCTCAAAGACACCCTCATTTCTCGCCCTCCTTCGCCAACCATTTACCCTCTCCAGCAAAACTTTTTTAAAGGGGAAGGGGGTGGAGGTGACCCCGATTCTAGGTGAGGCTCAGTGGCGTTACCGACACCTATACTCACTTGTGACCCCGGAGCCTGGTCCTCTCCGGCGCCCCTCGAGCTGCCGACACCTACCCAGGAACAGGAAGGGCACTCTCCGCTTAGCCCCGCCTCCCAGGGCAGGGACGGGCCCCAACGAGGCGCACACCTGAGACAGGTAAGGGAGCAGGTAAACACTCCGCTTTTGTCCAGTACAAAGTACCTACTTTATACATATTCTCTGGACAAAAACAACACAAAAACTAGGGAAGGTCTGCTCTAGACCTTGTCAGTCCCATGGTGGCTTCTAAAGCATCTCATCTTAGAATTGGGACAACTAGGCCGACGGCCCCTGTCCCAGACGGACGGTTGTGGGCGGCAGGGCGAGGCAGGGGTCTCGGGGTCCAGGGAAGTCCCCCTTGGTCCCGTGCGGACTCTGCTCACCCCCTGATCGCGGGCCTCGCGTTTGATCCGCGCGGCCCAGGTCTGGGGGGACGTTCATCTGAACCCCAGGAGGGAGAGGCCTAACCCTCGGTCCAGGACCGGCCCCTCAGGTGTCGGTCAGTAGTCCCACGCACCCCCACCACGCTCTCCGGGAGCCCTCCCCCGCCCTCCCCCGCCCTCAGGTGACCTGAGTCCAGCGCCCCCCACCGGGAGCCTCCCCTTTCCAGGTGACTCACGGCCCCGCCCCCACCCCGCCCCTCTCCTCGAAGCCCCTCCCTCTCCCGAGGCCCCTCCTCCGCCTCCTGACCCTTTGTCCCACCCCCACACCACCCCCTCCCCCGTGGCGCCCCTTCCGTCCCCTGGAGGACTGTGGCCCCCCTCCGCCTCAGTACTGCGCAGGCGCAAGGACCGGCGCTCGCCCCGGGGCTGGGCTAAGGCCGTACTGCGCAGGCGCGCGGGGCGGGACCCTTGAGGTGCGCATGCGTCGCGCAGGAAACGTTGCGTCGCGCAGGAAACGTTCCGACGCGCTCAGTGGGCGCCTGGGTGTGCGCGCGGGAAGATGGCTGAGCAGGTGCCGAAGTCTGTGCTCTTCGTGTGTCTGGGTGAGACCGCGCTGATCTAGCCCCACTCTGGCTTTCCCGAACGGTCGGGGTGGGTCTCGTGCGTTTTGGGCTGCGCCGTTGGGCCAGGAACGGTGATCGGGAGGAGGCCGGGGTCAGGGAAACCGGAGGGTGGAATGGAGCGCCCGGGGCTCTTCCTCCGCGCCGCGCACTTGCTGGCCTGTTCTCCAAGCTGGGTTCCCTCACCAGCCCAGCCCACTCTCCAAGCGAGGTTCTCTCTTACCTGCCCGTTCTGCAGGCGGGATCCGCTCTTACCCTCCTCGGTCCAATCCAAGCCGGGTACCCTCTCACCGCGTTTCCTATCCAAGCTGGCTTACCTGTCACCTCAGTCTGCTCACCTAGCGGTCCTCACCTGCAGCACCGACACTGCAAACCAGGGTCCTTTGCATTGCACACGCCTAGCATCCCTATTTCTCCTTCATCGAATAGACCCAACGCTGCTGGACTGATATACTCTCTTGGGGCCTCCTGATGCCCCCAGACCCATTACAACCCTGGTTTGCTGGCTCATTTTCTTTGCCCCTGCTTACAAATGGATGTAAGCGAAAGACAGATGGAGTGCAAGGATTCTGCATTTCTTGGCTATAAAAGCCGAACCAGGGAGACCGGATTCTCCAGGTGTCTGTGTAACCAGACTCATGTGCCAGTGTTCCAAATTAGAATTCACTTTCCTGTAGTTGTCGGGATTCTTCTTTTGGAATAGCACCACAGGGTTATATTTCTCAGTGTTTGCGCCCTGTCTCCTTAACCTCCAAGAGAGGAAGGCCTAAATCATCAATAGTCCAGTTACTTAAAATCTTCTGATGATTCTGCATTTCCTATGGACTAAAGATTCCCCTCCTTTCTATGCTGCCCTCAAGAAGAGGATGGACGTCTGCCCATCTGTTTGCGCTTCATCTCCATTACCTTTTCCTGCCCATGCCCTGTGATTTGCTGTCTGCCAGCAGTTCAGGTGCTTAACGCACCTTTGTGTGGTTGTTTCTGGGCACCCATATTGCATTTTCCCTGGAAAGACGTTCTGTAAGATTAGATCCAAATATTCTCTTTGCTTTTCCCAGATCCTCTAAGTGGAGGTCGTTTACCTATAACCCTTTGTAGACACCTTTCATTATATGAATGTTATTATAATTACTTGATAGCCTCTTGGGATCACATCTAGATTTAACCCTCTTGAGGGCAGTAACTGTGGCTTATTTTTCTCTTTTTCCAGCTTTAAGACAATATGTGACGATAACTAGGTATTTGCAGAATTGAATTTCTGTGAGGGGAAAAGTAAAAGGGCCACCTTGTTTCAGTTTGGTAGGGGGCATCATTTGGTGTTTAAGCTCTCCATGAAGGCTGACTCACGGAATCAACAAATTAAGATTAAAGGGCGGTTCAGTTCATGTTGGGCATCTAACAGGATTCCATTGCCTTGTTTATTTTACTTGGTGTTGTCGATTATGCTGACATAATGCATCATGGTGGTTATTAACAGGGGATGTATACCTGTGTCCATTTATCTTCCGTACGATTTTTTTTTTTTAAGCAACTGCTGTATTACCAGGCACTCTTCTGAGTGCTAGGGATATGATAGTAAGCAACAGACTAAAGTTCCTGCCTCTGTGGAGCTTACGTTCTGTCACCAACAACCAAGTACTTGGTTACTTAATAAGTTGGTGATGTGTTAAGAACTGTAGAGCAGGGAAGGGGGTGAGAGTGGAATACATTTTAAGTAGAGCAGTCAGGGATGGCCTTATCTATAAGGTTGCATTTGGGCAAAGACTTGAGAGTTGAGAAAGCAAGCCTGCGTCTTCCGGGGCTCAGAATAAAGTGGGTGAACAGTTTTGAAATGAGAGTACTGGTCCTGTTCATATTGGCAGGGAAACCACTGTGGCCTGGCCTAGAGACCCAGTAGCCTTTTTCAACCAGACCTTCATCTGTACCTGAACTCGAAAGTAATTTTAGTGACTCTTTTCTCAATGCCACCATAAATACATAACTAGAACTATTCTGGATGGGTAGGAAAGCTATTTCCTTACATAAAAATGAGCACTCTGGGGCAGGAGTCTGTGAACTCCTTATATAAAGAACCAGAAAGTAAGTATTTGGTGCTTTGCAAAAGCAGACCTAGACAATACATAAACAATAATGCTTGACTGTATCCCAGTATAACTTTATTTACGGACACTGCAGTCTGAATTCCATGTGATTTTTCTTATGTCACAAGATGTTACTCTATTTTTGAGTTTTTTCAGCTGTTTATAAAGGTAAAAATTATTTTTGGTTTTATCGGCTGTACACAAAGGTGGTGAGCAGTGGATCATAGTTTTCAGATGCTGTTTTAGGGTCTACAGAGGACATGTCTGGTGAGGCCATGTGAGGGCTTGGGCTTACTCTGAAGGAGCTAAGCCACTGGAGGATGAAGCCATTGAGCAGAGATGGGGCATTTATAAAGAAGTGTTCAGCTGCTGTGTTGAGATTAGACTGGGCAGGGGCGAGGCCCCAGGGGTGAGGCCAGGGGTGCAGAGGGGCATGTGCTGGATCAGAGAGAGTATCACTGCGGCGGGGGGGTTGCTGAGTGGTCAGATTGTGGGCAGGTTTGAGGAGTCTATGAATGCCATTTCGCATGATAGCCTGTGTATACATAGAGCAGTAAGAATGGTATATTTTTGAAATGTAAAAAAATTATTCCTTCAAAGCATTTATTTGGGCTCTTTTCAGACTGAAGTGTAGAGAGGAGTGTCAGATGTTTTCTGTTGGTAAGGCTAATGGCAGGAAGGAACTGTGCACTCCTTATTTTGGCAAGATTATTGAAAGTATTCCGTGTTTTTGGAGATAGACTGAATGGTTGAAGGCCCCCGTGCTTGTGCTGCAGCCAGTGTGGTTGGAAATGATAACTGTCAGTGGTGTCGGGTTACCTCTTCCCTACAGTTAACTGATACTTCTTGATACTTCCTATGTTGTGGGGGGTGCAGCCCAAGGTAAGAGACACAGTCCCTACCCTTCGAGAATTTCATTTTTTCCTTTTGTGAGTCTCACTCCTTGAAGTACAGATATTGAGTAAGAGGACGTATCATGCTGCCTAATTTGGAAAAAACAAACTTGAGACCTCACAGATTGAGCTTTTTCCTAAAGAAATCTGAAGGTGACATTTTAAGTTTTTAGAACTTTTCCAAGGGTGGAACCTGAAGTACTGAAGATTCTAATGTGAGTGAAGAGTGACCCGTGCCTTAACTCAGCTCCCGTCTATTCCTCATGTTTTTTGTGTTGCCCTCTGTAGGCTGAGTCTTCACCTTTAATTCCAGGCTCTCCAGCCCTGCAGTTTTCCTAACTTGTGGGAAGGGTCTTTCTCTTCAGGCCCTTTTACAGTGCGGGCTCCTGTGTCATAGACATGCAGAATATGTTTGTTGAACATTCTCTTCCCACTGGACCCACGAAGTCCACATCCTGGGCACAGTTAAGGTTCCTGTAACCCAGACCCACCAGTGCACATTCATTGCTCCTTATTCATACAACCCCCTAATTTAAATGCCCATTAAAGTCCTCTTCCTAAGAGATCAATTCCAATCTTCCTTTTTTTCTGATAAGGAATTTTCTTATTATCTTATTTATGCTTTTAGCATAATTCCATAGGATAATGGGCGTGTTTTGTTATTCCAGGAGGTCCTTACATAGTTCATGCATGGTGGGTGAGTCAGGGTGGGGTCTGTGAGCCACACATTGGGGATGCGGGAGCTGGACGGTTAGTTCTGCTACAGGCCCGTTATTCCATCACTCATGCCTACTTAATGAAACTCAGTGAACCCTTGGCATTGGCGCTCTGGAGAGCATCCTGAATTGGTAATACTCTGAGTATTGTTCCAGATGGATGACAAGAGGGTGACACGTGTCGGAGGGCCAGAAAGCTTCAGGTTCGAAACTCTTCCAGATCTGCCTGTGCTTTCTAACTTTGGCTCTTTCTGCTTTGAATCTTTTTGTTACGATAAAACTATAATCCTAAGTCTAGCATTTTCCTGAGTTTTATGTGTTCGTCTATAGAATTATTGAATGTGTGGGGACTCCTCAATCTGTAGCCAGCCGCTCTGAATTAAGGGTGGCCCTGGGGAATCCCTGAACTTGCAGCCGATGTTGGAAGTTCTGGGCAGACTTGGTGACCTGGAGGGCAGCACCCTTAATTCAGCCGGCCGACTCCCAACAGACTGCACCCTGAAAGTTTGTGTTGAACTACTGTTAGGCCGAAATTTGTTTGTGTATTTTATGAAACAGTATTCATCCTTATGTGCAATATACTTGAAGATACATATTTTTAACCCTATTGTATTTCATTTTAAAAATAGGCTCGTTGCAACCCACTTCATTGATTTTATGAGTTACTTCTGGGTCATTTATAACAGCCTGAAAAACAGTGATTTCAGTTGTAATTGATTTTCTTACATCTTGGTTATTTGTACTTTGAGTACTTGGACCGCTGGTGTCAAATCGTTGAGCTTGGGTTTGGTCAGCTGTCTCCAGAGGTCCTACTGTGCATGCACTGGTGGGATGCTGACCTTGCTTTCCTTAGGAAGGTGCTGTTGCTGTGTGTCAGGTGGGTGAAGTGGTCTGGAATTCAGCATTTGCCCTGGCATCAAACCTGACGCCCACTCTCTGCCTTCCCCTTTTTTTAAGGTAACATCTGTCGGTCACCCATTGCAGAAGCAGTTTTCAGAAAACTTGTAACTGATCAAAAGCTTTCAGATCATGTAAGTACCATTCTCTATCTTAAAGAGGCCAACCTGGCTGCCTTTGTGGCAGGAAATTGCGAAAAAATTCTTTCTTTCTCCTGCAGTGGAGGATAGACAGTGCAGCGACATCCACGTATGAAATAGGAAACCCTCCTGATTATCGAGGGCAGAGTTGCATGAAGAAGCATGGTGTCCCCATGAATCACACTGCCCGGCAGGTACTGTACTGGAGCTTGAAGGTGCACATGTGTGTTCTGTGTTGCAGTGGGTCATTGACAGCGGCGCTGTTTCTGACTGGAATGCGGGCCGGTCACCAGATCCAAGAGCTCTGAGCTGCCTCAGAAACCATGGCATTAACACAGCCCATAGAGCAAGACAGGTACAAGAGACCTCACTTACCTCTAACCCTGCAGCCCCACTTGGAACTGTGAGTTCAAGCAGCACACTAGCTAACGAGAGTTTACTCCACTCTGCTTGCGTAGCCACAGGGTACCCGTTTCTTTCACTGCTGGTTCCACAGTTCTGAAAGGTGGGAATGATACTGGAATTTACTTATTAAAATGCATTTATTTTTATTTTATTTATTTATTTATTTATTAGACAAAAATAAAAGAGAACAAATCTGTACCTTTATTTATTTACTTTTCATTAAGTTTAAATCCTTGAGGGGTACCGCATCACACAGATTCTGTGGCCAATGGCTTTAGCAGGAAGGTTGCTTCAGAATTTGGCACGAACCATGCCACTGTTTCATGAGCTTGAGTTACTTTTCCCCAGATTACTCGGGTTTTGTTTGACTTGCCACCAGGAGTCACTGTGTCGTTCTTTGCTTGGCACACATAGGTACATCTCCTGCCTAGATAGAATTCAGTTTCATCTCAACCTTCAATTTTAAGAGCTGTGTGCTCCCTCTGGTTCTGGAGACCCCGCTTATAGCCAGCAAAAATGGCCTTGGACCACAGCCTTCCAGACATATTTGGTGTTTTAGGAGTCCTTTTCCCAGCAGGCCTCCATAGGCTCCAAGATGGCGGAAAGAGAAAGGCTAAAATGTATTTATAATCACATAAGTGATACTGGTGAGAGCCCTGCCTAAGACCTGGGGACCTGAGTTATAATCTCCTTTTTCATTTCTGTCTGTGTGATTGAAACATTTACGCCCTGGTAACTAGTCTGCTTACGTTACAAGTTTATTGCTAGAATAAAGTTCTATAATATCTACAAAAATGTATTTTCAACAGTGAAGTGTCTTAGAAATATAGGATAGTACTGGTAATATTATGGATGCATATCCTGCATCCCAGCAGTTGGACTTCTGGGTTTAGGTTCTGGAGTGCTGCACTGTAGAACATTCTGGGATAAGGCAGGTAACGCTGTATCTGCTCCATTCAGTGTGGAATAGCCACTAACGGCTATTGGACATTTGAAATACGGCCAATGTGATGGAGGACCTGAAGATTATTTTTTAACTCACTTAAGTAGCTGCCTGGAACTAGTAAGCACCTCAGTGGGCTGCACGGTTCCAAAATTCATGCACAATCACTGGGGAGAGCGTGAGGGTTGTACCACCACAGCCTCAGTGAGACATCAGAGCTCAAGGGCAGGCATGTTCCATCACTAGGAGGATGCCGCAGGTGTGTGCTCTTTCGGCACCTTCCATAACCACAGGGGCTAGCTGCTAAAGAAATGTGCTTCATTTCTGATACAGAATGCTTCATCTATTGTTATGCAAGGAAAGTGACTATCACTATCATTATTTTATGGAGACTCAATTAGATGTTTAAAAATTCTGGCTGGGGCGCCTGGGTAACTCAGTCAGTTAGGCGTCCGACTCTTGATTTTGGCTCAGGTCATGATCTTAAGGCCATGAGATTGAGCCCCACATCAGGCTCGCCACTCAGCAGGAGTCTGCTTCTCTCCGTCATTCTCTCCCTCTGCCCCTTCTCTTGTTCACTCTCTCTCTAAAAGAAAGAAATCTTTAAAAAAATTAAAAAAAATAAAAAACCTGGCTAAATCTTCTAACTTCTTTTGTATCCAACCTAACAAAATATGCAGGCTCTGTAGGCCAAACAAGGCTGTGGATTGGCATCAGAAACAATAGGCTATGTCCAGTGATGAGCTCTTGAAGCCTTTAAAATGAGAAGCTGCCAAATGTTTTAAAAATCAGTTGTGAGATATATTACATATTTAGAAGTATGGCTGGTATGTGAGAGCTGCAATTTAATATTGGTGTTTAAACGAGAACTTTGTGTAAGACTGGACAAAGACTCTAATCATTGGTATCTTAAACCATGTCTTTACTGAAAGCTTTTCAGATTGCTTACCATACAGCATTGTATTTTTATTTTTGATCATTCTCAGTTTTTGTCCTCTCTGTTACCTCGTTAGGGAAGGGAGTAGTTGGTAAACCTGTTTTGCACATGGAGAAACTGAGTTCTGGAGAGAAAATACATAACTTATCAAAGGTCACCAAGCTTCAAACTGGTAGACTGGGATTTGACCATAGGCTTATTTGTTTGTTTTAATAAAAACATATACAGGTATGAGCCAGAAAGTTCACAAAAGTGCTGATGTGTTAATGATGTCTCAGAAGCTAGTAATACACACGTTATTTTGGCTTAGATAAATTTACTCTAGAATCTGTGAACTTCCCATTTCTGGCTATCAGCTGACTCTATGTTAAACAACTAACTATTTAAGTTAACTGCCTTAAGGCCTGACCTGTTCTTTTTTTTTTTTTAAAGATTTTATTTGACACAGAGAGCACAAGCGGGGGTGGGCAGCAGGCAGAGAGAGAGGGAGAAGCAGGCTCCCCACTGAGCAGGGAGCCCGATGCGGAGCTCGATCCCAGGACCTTGGGACCATGACCTGAGTGGAAGGCAGACACTCAGGCACCCCAAGGACTGACGTGTTCTTACATCAAATTCTCATTGGACAGAATAGTACACATTTTTTAGATCATATGTCTTAATCTCCAGGATTTGGACACCTTGTCCATTTCTACTTTCTGTGTTTTAGAGAACGCAGATTTATTCTGAGTAGTGGTTCATGATTTCAAGCAGTCACACTTTCATGTTTTCTGGTTTTAAGAGTGGATTATTTTTTGTACACAAGTATATAATTTGGGTAAAAATGAAGTATTTTAAATACATGTCTTAAAAAGCTAGAAACTTTTAATTTTTAAAGATCAATTGTAATTGTTGATTTTAGAAGTAATATTCCCATGCAGTCTGTTTCTTTCCCTTTTTCTTTTTCCCTGTTCCTTTTAAGAAACATTTCTCAATGATGATTTTTTTTTTTATTTCAAAACACTGGTAAGATGTGTTTTATAAATTAGTATTGTTTTAGATTTTTCTTAACCCTTTAGCATCTTGTAATTGTTTACAGGTTTTCTTTTTTTTTTTTTTTAAGATTTTATTTATTTATTTGACAGAGAGGGAACACAAGCAGAGGGGAGTGTCAGGCAGTGAGAGAGGGAGAAGCAGTCTCCCCGCCGAGCAGGGAGCCCCACACGGGGCTTGACCCGAGCCGAAGGCAGACGCTTAACTGACTGAGCCACCCAGGTGCCCCTGCAGGCTTTCTCTTTAGCAGTTGTCAGAATGTGTAAGAGAACTATTCTGTTATATTTCTTAAAATTTGATTTTCCTAATACTTTCAACCTGGATTTAATAAATAAAATGTGTTTAGGGTGCTTCTTTTTTATTTTTTTGGGGGGGTGTGACTGCACATCCATTTAGTTCTGTGGAGATGTTCACTTTGTTATACATTCGTTCTTATCAGCAAACCTTTGACACTTGCACAGGTAGTCAGTGGGTACTGGGGACCAGTACTGCTCCCTCCACTCCAGAGGTCACTACTCAGATTCTTTCTACCTTTTTAACTTACGACCTTGGAATCCTATAGTGTGTGCTCTTTCTGTCAGCTTTTCTCTGTGAGATTCTCCATGGCCCGTCTTGTAGCGCTCACTCTGATGCTGATTTCAATACCCTGTTCCAGACATGCTGCAGTAGTTGTATCTGTTCTACTCTGGGTGGACACTTGGGCTGTTTCTAGTTTGGGCTGAGTGCCCTGGTGAATATTTGTATGTTTCTTTGGGGAATGTCTCTGTACAGTTCTGTTGGATGCACACCTGGGATTACCGGCATGTCAGGGTTGGATGCACACCCAGGATCACACACACTGTCAGGGTTGGATGCACACCCAGGATCACACACACTGTCAGGGTTGGATGCACACCCACAGTGTCAGGGTTGGATGCACACCCAGGATCACACACAGTGTCAGGGTGGATGCACACCCAGGATCACACACACTGTCAGGGTTGGATGCACACCCAGGATCACACACACTGTCAGGGTTGGATGCACACCCAGGATCACACACAGTGTCAGGGTTGGATGCACACCCAGGATCACACACAGTGTCAGGGTGGATGCACACCCAGGATCACACACAGTGTCAGGGTTGGATGCACACCCAGGATCACACAGACTGTCAGGGTAGATGCACATCCAGGATCACACACAGTGTCGGTGGATGCACACCCAGGATCACACACAGTGTCAGGGTTGGATGCACACCCAGGATCACACACACTGTCAGGGTGGATGCACACCCAGGATCACACACACTGTCAGGGTGGATGCACACCCAGGATCACACACACTGTCAGGGTTGGATGCACACGCAGGATCACACACACTGTCAGGGTGGATGCACACCCAGGATCACACACACTGTTAGGGTGGATGCACACCCAGGATCACACACAGTGTCAGTGTTGGATGCACACCCAGGATCACACAAGTGTCTGTGTCGGATGCACACTCTAGAGCACATGTGTCATGGTTATTTAGCCTCATAAAATCGGTCAGTAATGTTCCCTTTCTCTGTTCTCTTAAGAAGTTTGTTGATTATTGAGTGTTTCTGCTTTAATGATTTGGCAGGATTCATTGAATCAGTTGTTTTTGTTTCTTGAAATTGCCCTTAATTTTCCTCTGCTGTCTTTAGGTATTTCTTTTGGATTTTTTTTTTTTCCCCTCTCCAGCAGTTTTACTATGGTAGGCCAAAGTATGCTTCTTGAATTTGCACTTTGATGGTTTCCATCAGTTTTGGAAAATTCTGTGTTGTTTTCTTTTTATATTTTCCCTCTCTGCATTCTCTCTTCAGAGATTGAACTTAACTGTAGTTTGAACATAAATTTCTTATGTTATCTTCTCCATTTTCCATCCTTTTCACCTGCTGGCCCTGGCTTTGTGAGGCTTGGACTATGTTGGACTGGTCCCCCATCCTGGGCAGAGCCTTCCCAGATCCCCCACCTGAGAGCCGCTGGTGTGCAGTCCACAGGACTTGTCCTCTTGGATGCTGCTCCCTCACTGAGTACTTGCAGCCTCCCCGTGGCTTCTTAGTTTTTGCCCTGAGTAGTTTAAGAACTTAGCAAATGCTTTGAGAAGAAAGCTTGTGTCAGGCTCACTGCTTTCTCGGGTCTCTGTTCTGCTAGCCTTTATGTCTGGTTTTTCTCTCCAACCTATGAGGTTGCTGACTGGTCCTTGATGCTTCTCTTTTCCAGCAGTGGCCCTTTGCCCAGGCTTCTCAGCATCTAGAGCAGGTGCTTGACCTTGGTACTGCTGACTCTGCATCTGGATGGTTCTTTGCTCTGGGGCCATCCTGCACTGTACCGTGTTTGGCAGCATCCTTGGTCTCTACCCACTCGATGCTGGGGCACCGCTTTCCTCTCCATCATAGCAACCAAAGATGTCTCCAGACATTGCCAACTGCCCCCCTCTTTGAGAATCACTGTCCTCAAATTCTCAGTGTCTACAAGGTCAAAATTGTACACGAATAAAGGATCCATTCAAAGTATCAGACTGACCAGTGGACTTGAACAGAGTAATAAAAATTTATGGATATTTTTCCTATTCTATATTGCGGGTAACCTTTAAGAAACTACCACTTACTGAGTTTTGGTGTAGTGTCAAAGATTATCCATAGTAATCTACAACAGCTGTTAAAATACTCCTCGTAAAGTACGTACTTAGCAAGGCTGGGTTCACTTTATATACTTGGACTCAGACGGCGCATTGCAGATCAGATAAAGAGGCAGAGATGAGAACCCTTCTGTCCTCCAGGAAGCAGGCAGAGATGTAGAACAGGGCCACTCCTTACTGTTTCCATTTAGAAAGTATAGCTGTTTTTTTATGTTTAAAAATGTTATAAAACAGATAATAAAGGTTTAAAACTTCTCAGTTTTGTTTTTTGTTTTTTTTTTTTTTTTGGTAGCCTCCTCACCCAGTGTGGAGCCCAACACGGGGCTCAAACTCACAACTGTGAGATCATGACCTGAGCCGAAATCAAGTCAGACGCTTAACTGACTGAGCCACCCAGGTGCCCCTAAAAGTTTTCAGTTTTAGTAGTGGTATTAAATATTTGATATTCAGTGGTAAATATTGCCATGTGTAACCCCAGGGGCCTCCTGGTGGGGTTCTGGCCTCGTCAGGCCATGTCCTCACAGCAGCAAACTCACGGCTCTGCAGAAGTGCTTTGTTTGTGTGAGCATTTTCTCCTTTCTGGGGCAGAGGTGGTTTGGCACAGCTATTTCGTGCATTGTTGCAAAGTGTAAGTCCTTCACTCCACACTCTTTCTAAGATGTTAGTCATCGCTATTGTTATTCTTTCTCAATCATTTTAATATCTAAACATCACATATGGTTTTTATAGATAGCCATCAGTTCTAAGACTGTCTTTCGATCCATAATTGCAGTAATTCTAAAATTAAAAACAATGTTAATCCTAGCACATGTCTTGTAACCTGTTTTGGATAAATAGCTTATATAGTATTGTTCTAATAGATTTTTTTTTTTTTTGAAATAAACTAGTGCCTTGGGAATGTTAACAAAATATAGTCATCAGCATGTGATGAACATGCTTTATTAAAAACTCATGCAAGTATTTACTAAGAGCCAAGGGTTAAATTTTTAACAGAATGAGGAATATGTTTATTATTTGTTTGTGACACTGATTATTACAAATAGTGTCACTCCTTTGTTAAATTAAAAAATTAAAGAAGTGCTCTGTTAAAAAAAAGGGTTTCAATATCTTCCTTGTAGTTTCCTGGCACTCCTATGTTTTAGATGATTTTTTTTGTAGTGGGAAAAGTTATTATTGAAAAATTGCATTGTTAGAAATTATTTCCACCTTCATCATATGGCCTATTTATGTTCCTTTCTTTGTAATTCTGCCATTATTTATAAAGGCAGAAATCATCAAATAATTTTCCCATTTACATTTTAATGGGCTTATATTGATAAATTCTGATGTCAGAAAACTGATAGAATCAGTAAAAATACTGAGTGGCCTTCTCTTCTGTGTGGTGTTCAAATTGTGCATGCTCAGGGGAGAGAAGAGCCATGCGTCCAGGTCCTTGTGTGTTTCCTTCTTAGTGACGCTTCCATGAACACCGTACTTAACATCTTATCTTCCTCTCTCCCCCAAAACTCTTCACCTGGCTCTGCCTGGTTTTTATCTCTGCCGGCATGTTGCCCGCCCTGCATAGGAGGAAGGCCTCACAAGGACAGCCATCCATCTCTTTAGTTTGGTGTTTGTCACTGGAGTCTAGGATGTTACGTTCTTGCAGAATGAAAAATAGAGTAAAACAATGAAGGGACTTAAACATGTGACCTTTTAATACGTTAAGTGAATTATACTTTGTTACTAAGAAATTGCAGATAGACTATAAGCTTTGTGTTTATATATTCTGTTAGGATTGTTCCAAGGAACTTAAAATTTCTTTGCAGTACAATGTTACAAAATAGGTTAACTCTATTCTAACTTTAAATACCCTAAATTATTTAACTTAAGTGAGTAACAAATTCAAATATAGCAATTTTTTTTTTTTTTGTACTGCTTTGGATCCTCCAGGCTTGATTGTTATAAATATAAACACTGTGTTTTTGACTTCTTATTTAATTTTAGGTTACCAAGGAAGACTTTGCCACATTTGATTATATACTGTGTATGGATGAAAGCAATCTGAGGTAATCACATTTTTTAAAGGGTATTTCTGTTCAACTCTCAGTTCAGTAACAGACCAATTGTTTGTTGTCGAAAATGATTTTTTTATTTTAAGTTTTAAAGGTAGTGATGGTCAGAACATACAGAATGATCTGTTTAGAGTAGTAAGAAACCAGTGAGGAACTGAGAACTGTCTCCCAGGTGTATTTACACAGAGACACGCTTTCAGGTAAGGGAGAGCCTGGTTAGCAGGGTATAACCTGAAGACTGGCTGAGCTGTGAGCAGTTTCCTAGAAGGTGGGGTTGGTTTTACAGGAGAGCGATGCTTCCACTGCTGTAGCGATTCATGGGCCATGTGGTGTTTTATTGTTTCTCAGTTATCCCCCCATTACTGCTGCCCCCAGCCCCCAAAAAGGAAGATGGACAAAAAGGGAAACTTTACTGTCTGAATTGTTGATTGCGTTAATGGATATAAAAACAAAACCAGACAGACTGGGGTATTAGGTAACAGTGGCCAACTATGCTGTGGCATGTATTGTGTGCTCTGCACACCAAAGCACTTAACCCTTGTTCTGCACCTTATCAGAGAGGCACAAGAGATTAAGTTACTTGCCCCAGTTCACAGATGGAGCAGATGGGTGTGGTAGAATTTTAGCCTAGGCTTTGTGAAACAGAGCCTGTTGTGTGTCTCACATGAACCGTACTCACCACTGTGCCCTGTCGCCTTGCACGGGGACATGCATTTGGGCACCAAGGAACTTTGTGGCATTTCTTGAGTGAGCTTTGTGTGTCTGGCACAGTGCCAGGCCCTGGGAAACAAGGTTAAGGAATTGTTGGTGCTGCCTAGAAGTATACAGTCTGGCATGGGCTACATGTATTAACCCAAAATTAACGCTGACAGTATGGTACCATGCAATCATGCCCAGAACAAGTGAACACAATGTATTCTGCGGATGCTGAAGCTACTGCAGGGTAAGTGACCCAAGAGAGTTGTAAGGCCAGGGCCCTGTGCCCCTTTGTCCTCCACCCAGTTTACTGTTTACTGTGCTGAGAAGCAAGACCTCAGCCCACCTGCTACCCCTCCACACTCTGCCAGCACAGAGAAGGACCAGGACGTGCCCCCAGTATGACTGCAGGGATTTCTTCACTGCAATCAGTGCTAATTCACAAGGATTCCACGTGTTTTATGAATAGAAACTGTTTCTGCTTTTAATTGCCTTTGTAGGAGTGTGCAGATATGGTGCCCAGCTCTACTTCTGTTTTTATGAATCAGGAACATCACTAAAATACATACATGTTCTATTTCTGTCTTTCAGTTGTTGATTTGTTTAGTTCTCACTTTTCTCACTTACAGGTATTGTCGGCAGTGGTGCTGTGTTCATTAACACAGTCTCCAGGTTGGGGGGGCGTCCAGAGCAGGGTCTCTGTGGAGAGCAGCTAGAGCCCATGCCTCAGCCCGGGCTGCTTTGGGGACACGTTCTGTTGCTTGGAGGCCTGGCCAGCCTTTCCGCCACACCAGTACAGTGTCTGACTCATCCTAGGTGCTCAGTGGGGCTTTGTCAACTAAATGGAGGAATGATCAAAATGCAGCTGAGGAACTTGCTGCTTTACTTGCTGCCACGTGAGCGCTGGGGGCGGAGGCGGCAGAGCTCGGTCAGAGTCTGGAGGAATAGGAGCAGGAGAAGGGGTTAAACAGGGAGGCTTGCTGCATAAAACGCTGTGTCCAGACACTTTGGGATGGAATTGGCAGCCCTTTGGGACTTGGTTCACGTGGCTTTTTGAGTTCCATTCTGCCACCTTTATTTGGTGCCTGAAATAGAAGCTTTTTGATTTAATTGTCTCAACATGTATTTCACAGGAGGATACATGATTATTGTCTGACTTAGGGATGCATATTTTGTGTAAAAGCGTTTGTGAGAATATGCTGCCTTTGCAAACCCTCTTGCCGGCATCGGAAACCTGTGGCTCGGAGGGTTACACAGGTCTGCCACGGGTTTGGTTTCCTTTTTAAATCAGGTCACGCTTCCTGGGTTTTGATATGGATATTTCATAAAACCCTAGCAGATGTCCCTGTTTAACTTGAAACCATAGATCAGAAAACTAAGTTCATGTTTCAATTTTACAGAGACTTGAATAGAAAAAGTAATCAAATTAAAAACTGCAAAGCTAAAATTGAACTACTCGGGAGCTATGATCCACAAAATCAGCTCATTATTGAAGACCCCTATTATGTAAGTACACCTCCCATTTCTGTCCTGATGCTGGTGTATAGCAGCCATGTGGGATGAGCCTGTGTGTATGTCCTGCCATGTGCAGTAACAGATTAAAGTTCTAAGAGCATTTTGTTATGTAGGTTTTGTTATTTTTTCTTCCCCTGTGCTTTCAGGGGAATGAGTCCGACTTTGAGAGTGTCTACCAGCAGTGTGTGAGGTGCTGCAGAGCCTTCCTGGAGAAGGCCCGCTAATGCCACGCCCGTTCTCCCCACAGCCCCCGGCTGGGCCCCACAGGCTCTGCTGTGAGGCCGCAACTGTTTCTTCAGTTGACCCTTGGTTTCTTACCTTAAATAATTGTAGATGGAAATCAGTTGTTGTATCTGACAGACAAATAAATAAAAATGTTTCATCCAGACAGTTTATGGGGTACGCGAAGTGTTCTTAGACCTGCTGAAACTCCCACTTTGCTCCAGTTACAAAAATAGTGGAACAAACAAAATAGAACAGGCACCAGAGCATGAGGACATCCAGCGTCCCTTTCGGGCACACAAGTTCTGCCTCTTCCTCGAGTTTGCGGATGACCGATGGGGACCCAGTCCTCCGCTGTCTGCACAAGCCAGCCCCGGCAGCCCATCCACGGGAGCTCCCAGCCGAGACTCACCCTTGCTCACGGTGCACACTGTTTACATAGAAGAGTTAAGGTGTTACTCTACAGAACCTTTCCGACCTGCTAGTTTATTTCATCAGGAAGTCAGCTTGATTCCATTCGAACCATTTTGCCTCTGGAAAGTTACAGGCAGAAAGAAGGACACTGTATGCTGGTTTATCTTATTGTCTGAGGAGCGTGTCTGCTTTTCAATGCCTGTAGAACCCAAATGTCAAATACAGATCAGCTTAGGTGGGAAAAAATAATTAAAAAGTCGGGGAAAGTTCTTTTATGTTGAGCTGCTTGAATATCGAGACATTAAGTATTCTTTCATCAGTGCTTAATTTATAGACAAGTATAGGTAATTTCTGTGCACTTGGAGGTAACTAATCTAAAATTCATATGGATATATGGCAGAAAAGATTGTTTTCCAAAATAAACTGGGGAAATTATAAAAATACAACTAAGAAGTCTGGTGTCCGCCTGCTTTTTTATTGATAAGTGAAGAAGAATTAGAAAACAATGCCTTTGTTGTCCCTTTCAGATGATCTGTGATGTTATATGTGCATATTTATCTTCAGCGTTAGGAAATAAAATGACAAAAGTAAGCGCATTGCTTCCACTTCTTTGGAAAGAAGTTTGAGGGTCCTGCAGCCATACAGGTCCTTGCCCGACCCAGCATCTGTGGAGTGTGGCAGTCTCCTCCTCGGAGCTGGCTCTGCAAGCTGGGCCTTCCTGGGTGGTATGGCTAGATGAGTGAGAGTTTGCTGTGCTCCCTGTCTTCACCGGAATTTACAGCTGGTGGCCTGGAATCCTGGGAGGACCCCAAGTCATGGATCAGTCTTCATCCAGAGCCCGAGTGGACCCTTGCTCAGAAGTAGGAGGAGTTTGGAGGAATAGCTGCCCCATCAGGGTGGCTGCTTCTGGGTGTTGTGGGGCTGCCCGTTCTCAGAACCTGAGGGTCCTGGCTGGGGGGTCAGGTGGGGCATTTAGTCCTGGAGGATGGGCATGGTGGCTTTGCCACCACCCCTTCAGGATGTGTGTCTGGCCCCCTGTGGGGTTTCCCAAAGACAGTCCTGCCTGAAAACCCTTCCTCAGGCAAGTAGGAACCTTTAGAGCTTACATGGATTGAGAAATTGGTGATGGTGTTTTAAAAAGTAAAGAACTGAGCTGAAAAGACGAAGTAATTAGAAAATAGGACTAAGAGCACTTTAGAGTTACACTGCCTTAATCCTTCAGTAGTTGCTTAATAATCTCAAAGTATTTCCATACTCTGTTCCTTCGTGATCATGAATAAATCCCTATAGTTTGTTTTCCTTACTGTTTGCATCTGTATCTTAAATACGGACCTCAGACATGTCCTGGGAATCATTCTACTTTATACTTATGGCTGTATCCAGACTAGAGGTCCTGTGAATAGAGAAACTCAGTGTTGAATTCACTTGTCATAAATTGGATGCAATCAGATTTGTTAAAAATATATCACCTGTAAAAATCAGAGCTGCTTAGAAGTTTTACCTCTTGGTTTTTTCATGATTACGAAGTCACACAGGAAAATACAGATGCAACCTTCTTTAAATATTCACCCCATATCAGGCTCTGTCTTAAGACATGCCACCGTTACATAGTAGTGTCTCCTTTTAAAAAACGCCAATTTAATTGTCCCTTGCAAGAATTCATAGCCTTCCCCTCTTATGTATTATGCCTTTTATATTCCATGACATTCTGCCAGTGTTAGGATCTCTTCATGGTTCTGTAAATCATGAATTCCCACCGGAGAGCTTGTTAGAAGTAAAGAGTCACTTTGAAGACTTCGTTATAACAAACATTTCGTTTATTATTTGTTTTATTTACAGTATTTACATATTGCACAATATCTGGATACTATCTTACATTTATGATAGAAAGAACAAATGAAATTAGCCTGGATATGTTCACAGACTTATACTCCACTGTTTCCAAAACATGACAAGTTTTTTTTTTTTTTTCTTCCATGCAGTTCCAAATAATGCTCTGGGAATTTAATTGTAAGAGTAACAAAAATATTAAATCATACCATATGCTATATGAAAATATAGTTTCAGATTCTATTTATGTTTCTAAAGAAATACTCTTTGAGATTTCACCTAATCAGGAGAATGAAATAGCTTTGTCTGTAATTTTATAGCACTACACATCAAATGTGGAGCATTCACCTTTTCCCCCAACATCATGAATGGCAAGTGTTACCGTCAGGTACGCTGATTAACTGAATATGTATCTGCCAACAGTGTCGACAACATACATAACTCAAGTTAAAGGGTTTATGGAAGAGTCAGTCTGCAAAAATAAATCTCTTGTTCACAAGGGGACGTGTTCGTGAAGGTAGCAGGTTCTGTTCCCTGTTGATTTCCAAGGCACTTCTCATGGTTCGTGGGCTGTTGGTCCTTTGCAGCTCTGCTCACTGCTGAAAAACACATTTGGTTTCATAGAAAGTCACACTTTCTTATCAATTCTAGAAGTATACATCAAATGATGTAACATAATGTGTTTGAGAACACAAGGGATCACAGTCTGCATGTGTATTTCTCTATGTTCCAAAAAGTGTAATCTATTTTATTGTGGAAATAACCAAGTTCTACAGTTGTTACAGGCCTACTGTGCTAAAGGAATGGAAACCATCACTGGTACAACTGAATGCTTACTAAAGTCTGAAGACCAGCCTATGGTCCTGATGTGTGATGTCAAGTCCTCTAATTTGGGCCACAGTGATTGACAGCCTGGCAGTCCTGAGAAACCGCTCATTGGCCCTTAAGCCTCCATCTGCACGAGCATTTGCGAAACTAAAAACCAAAAATAAACCCTTTTTTCTAGCACTCCCTGCAGTGTACCCGAACAATTGGTACACTATTCATTAATTTTAAAAATAATGGTAAGCTCCAGGGTTCCTAACTTAAGCTGCATTTTGTGGACTGAACTAGACACTTGTTACTCAAAACTCCCATTTCTTTGGAAATATATTCCAGAGCTCAGGCTTCTAACTGAACTGAGCTGCAGGTCTGGGTAATGAAGTGGTGTGTGAGAGGTCTCCAGTGTGTCTCTGTGAGGGAGAGTAGCTGGGAATCTAGTTTCTCTTTGGCTGGAGGTCAGTTAAAGAGACGGAGTGTGTAGCCTGAGTAGTTGTTTCGGTGGAGAGGACCACAGGGCATTTGGTCTTCCCTCCTGTAAGTAAACGGAAGTTGTCTTCCGAGGATGTGCCTGGTTCATCTCTGGAAATAGTGGTGCTTTAACTATGAAGGAATGCTTAATAAAATAGCATTCCCATCTCCCCTAGCGTATCACCTTGAGAGACTTCTGAGAATCCATCCATTGCTTCAAAAAGAAGTCTTTTCTGTGTGCCATTTGGCAGTGGACTCAGATGGGCAGTGGAGTGGAGGTCAGGGTAGTGCACGGCATTTCTCAGCTTTGGCGCTAAAAGCCATGCTTTTACTTCCCCCACATAAAAAGTGCCGAACAAGTTTCTGTGAACCTGCAAGGATGTGGCTTCATAATCCTCCACTAAACCACATGTTGTTTCTCTCATTATCGGTGAGACTTACACCGGGGAGAAGCCAGTGCTGACGATGACATGGCTGTGCTTGCGTGGTCAGACGGCTGTGGGGGTTTGGCTCAGCCCCCTTGGCACCCTCTACACCTTTATCGGCACAGGCCTTCCCCCAGCGAGCATGTCTGTGTGAAAGAACACGACTCCCGCATCCACACACACAAGACAAACAGGGTAACCACTGTGCACACAGCAGATGATTGGGAACAACCATTGAGGACCTGAAGCATGTCTTATTTGTGGGGGTAAACTTGGCCTCTGGCAGTGCCCAACACACACAAGACACACTGTAAATATACAATTAGGAAATTACCGTTTTGTGACCGAAATCCATGGCATTGGTGTCAGGAAAACAAAACCTTTCAGCCATCAGTATGGCAGATAGTTGGTGTTGGACATCAGCCCTCAAGAGGCCAAGGCTAAAAATTTAGTTCATAAACTCTCCATGTGCCTTTATATTTTACCATTGGAGGCTCTGGAAAAATAGCTGATAGAAACATAGAATAGCTATTCTTAGCTGTTCCTTATAAGCTTCCTGGCATAATGATAGATTCCAACTCAAACATTTGCCAGATACGTCTATAAAAGTTGCATAGATATGGTTAGTCATATACTCATTTATGAGTGTAAATGAATGAGTGAAAGCCTAAAAGTGAACAGGCATGGTTTTAGATATGTATCCTAATTTATGCACTAAGTCATGTGCTGAAATTAGTCCACTAATGGGTTGTGTTTCAAATTAACACACACTCTGCCAAGGGAGTCCTCACAGGAATAATTCACAGCAGCTGCCTGGGGCACTGTGCAGACTGGCAGGGGTACCTTTTATTGATGGCCAATATTTGTAGATATTTTAGTGTTATGTCAACCTCAGAGGAAGGCTACTTTAGCCAAAGAATGAGTATTTCTGGACTCCCATGAATTTTTCATGTCCCAAATGGATTTGGGTCTTTGGTGGGTGTACCAGTGAATCTGGGGTCAGCTTACCTTATCCCTCCATGCACATTGGACTGACAGCCAGCCGGGTAAGCAGCCTGGCACATCTTTTATAGTCTGT